AGTTTGGATAGAGGTGTGGCCCGAACTGCCCTGGGGTGGGCCAGTTCGGGTTGTTGCCCGTTGCGCTCCTCGTAAGGCTCGGGGTCAAAGGGAGAGTTCGGGCTCCTTTTGGGGAGCTCGGACCGCTGGTTCCTCCTCTCGGAGCTCGCGCCTTGAGCGTACTGCCGTGCCGAGCTGCTGCTTCTGCCAGGCCACCCTTGGTTGTTTCCACGTGTTGGGTGGTCAAGAGGTCGGGCCAAATCTTCCTTCATCAGTAAGACATAGTTATAATCATGGTTACAACATGGTTTGATGCCAGGTAACATCCACAACAGCACCAGTGGTGAGTTCCATGCCTCTGAACATGGGACATGTTGCATGTAATTTCACCCCACAAGTTTGGTTTTCTCTGTAACACTGGATATTGTCTATGTAATATCCCCTACCTCCTAGTTAGATCCATGACCGATCAGTCATTATTTCTGGATCAATAGCTAACAACTAAATCAGATCCATCAAACATGTAATAGCAATGAATTTGTTGAAGGCCTTCTTTACTGAACTTTTTTTTTTTGAAAGGTAAGGTAAAATTGTATTAATATAGTCAAAAGGAAGTATACGAGTGTGATAGTTCACTGTATAAAATGATTCTTTACATATGAACACCATTAAGATCCCCCAAAAGAGTAACATTCAAAAAAGAAGATAGACAATCATAATTTAAGAAAAGAAAAAGAAAATGCTACAGAATCATATAAGCCACAATGGCTCAACTTTAGGCAATTGTAAAGTACAAGTAAACCAAATATGTCACTATTTTTAAAAGTTGAACAAACAGAACCAGCAAAACAGGGTTGAGTACAACTACCACTGGTAAGTGAAGAGAAGGAAATCCTCCAGGGGGGAATACAAAGTCAGTTGCTGCCCCAATTGGACCAGAAAACCTTCCATTTCCTATTGATGCTGAAGGATCTAGATTCATATCACATATCTTCTTTACCTTCTTCTCTTGAACCTATTCAAAATTACATAAGCACATAATAAGTACCACAATTATTGTAATGCAGACCCCTATTTCCTAATTCTTCCTTCATGAAGAGAGATTAGCAAGATTGCTAATGAGAAAAAGAAACAACAATATAGAGGGTGTCATAGAAATAAATGTTCTACGCCTTCTGAAATGTCAAATAAGCGCAGGATTCTAGCCAAATGATTAATACGAAAAAGATTCATCAGAGGCAAATAAATAATCTTGATTCTGGTTTGTTTGATATAAATTATCAAAAAAGTGGAGAAACTGAAAAGAAAAAGAAAATGGATGAGAAGAAGAAGACCTAAGAAGAAATTGAATATCGACAACTTGAGGATTGAAATTCTGGTCTTTTCTTTCACATTGTAACCATGATTAACAGTTTAACACTATAAAGCATTCTGGCAGTGAACCCCAAGTCCACTATAATATGACTGTTAACACTGCCAACCCTATCCTCAGACTCCAAACAAAGCACCTGAGCCTTGTAATTTCCTAAATGAATCATCTATCTTCCTCTCCATACAATTCTTGTTTTCATATAACAATCTTCCTACTTTTTGTTCTTGAGTCATCTTATAAAGTACACAATAATGCCATCAAATTTCTCCACATGCACAAAGAGTCTTAAAAGCAGTAATGTAAACCAATAGTGCAGTTTACCACTATTTGAAATATGTTGTCACACCATAGTTAAAAGGATCAACACCCTGGAACTGAGCAAAATCCAAGGACAAAAAGAAAAGCTCACACATGACAACCTATGTTACCCAGATATGACAAGAACATATCAAATACGGAATTTACACTAAAAATTGAAGTACCCAACATGATATGGCACCACAGATATCCAGGTAAAAAGGGAAATAAATAAATTCTACAATTTGAAACTCAAATAACAAAAGAGAAACATGTAACTTATTTGCCCTGGTGTCGCATCCTACTAGAAAAATCACAAGAGATAATGACTCACTATGTCATCCTTACATAGGGTGCATATACAAGAGGATAACTTCCAAGTTTTTTGTAAGCACTGAAGCACCTGATGTGAAAATGCTCATAACTAAAAACCGTATCCTTTTGCAAAGTAGGACTCTGTGATATATTGTTAACCAAAAATTAGTGGGCATTAGGGCATTCGTGTCAAGAGCCTTATACAAAGATGAACATGAAAATGTTCCTTTCGTGTCAATGGCCATACCTGTCAACCAAGCCATTATGGTCAAGAAAGAGAAACTCTAATCCTAAGTAAATGCAATCCAATCTTCATTTCTTTCTTTTTTTTTATTTTATACTATTTTTACAATAGATAGTTTCTTTGTAGAACAGTACATACAAGGCTGCACAAGATATAGAAAAAGGTTCCTAATCCTAAGTCAATACAATCCAATCTTCATTTCTTTCTTTTTTTTTATTTTATACTTTTTTTTTTAAAATAGATAGTTTCTTGGGAGTATATATCAAACAAATATAGAACAGTACATACAAGGCTGCACAAGATATAGAAAAAGGTTCAAACCCATCACCAAAAAAACTATGTAGATAAGAAGCTACCACGATACCAAAGATCCTTTGTTCTCCTGATTAGGTAGGCATATCAGCTATTCATTTCTCTTTCGAACCATCTACTGATCAATAAGAAGGCCTTTTCTAGAGCAACCCACCTCCCACCAAAGGTCCCTAATTATCTTTTTGTATTCTAAATTTAGCAGGTGCCTTGATATGGATAAAAGTAAATGCCAGATTAAAAATATATTTAATTAATATGATCTTGCCTCCAATACAGCACTGATGCTGCAAGCTGGAGGATCTCTCAACCACTGTTTTCCAAAACTCAGTCAATTCTGGATGTGTTTGACATAGAGAAGAAGCATTTCTCATGCTCCTCCCTCTAGATATTAGATGGCCAATTGTCAAAATCTTATCAAGCTCATAGCCCATTGAAAAATGAATAAAAAACGCTAATGCAAAAAGTATTGTATTATAGTATGTATCTGAAACGTGAGAGCAAGGTACGGTCCACTATACAAGGATCATTATAGCATGTACAGTATTCATAACCAAATTCATCTCCACAGTAAGTAACTACGATTTCCATGGTAAGTAACTATCATCTCAATTAAGTAATGAATAGAAGACGTTTCTGACTGGTCGTCTGGTCCATATCCAATACCCTTGTATTGTCACTTCTGATGGATATCCTTATTATTGTAGCATGGCAAGAAGGTTCACACTTGACAGGGAGATCAGTCTCTCATTCATAAAATGGCACTAAAACCAAAGGCTCGACACAACCTCATCCAGCAACAGCTCAAAAGAACCCCAAACCACCACTAGTCTATAGAGTTTCACATGACTAGTCAGGATATCCCTCTTTTCGATGCCTACTACTACACTGTACATCTTCTCAAGTATTCAGCACCAGATCTCCAACACCAACCTTGAAAGAGATGTGCTTGAATCTTCTGAATGCTCAAGGATGACCTTCCATGTGTTGCTGATCTATAAAACCTAGATAGTAGACTAACTTTAATCACATAAATTCTTTTGGATCATCCAACAACACTACTTGAAAAGGTGCTTTATTTGCTAGGAGTTGGCAAGTTTTATGTAAAGTAGCTATTTCAACTCTTTTAATACCTGCACTTTCTGAACCAACTTCTGATCTCTTGACCAACCATCATGGTCAACACCTTTTTCTCATGTGTGATTATTCATTTCTCAATATAAAGTCTAACTAATAAAATAAAAATCTAGACATTTACTAATTGAAATAAAAATGGTCAGAAATGAGAAGATATTAGATTATTAGATCCTATATTGGTAAAACACTTCTTTTTTGAATTCTTATAGAAATTACTTCAAGATAAAACAGGACACAATATCCAAGAAGTGTTTTCATGAATAAACTACATTTGAAGAGAAAAGTATGCTTTGTTCCACTAACCTTCCAATACTTCACAGTTTTATCATTAGTTGATAGAAGGAAAAGTGCACCATTTGCCGTTTGACACCATCGTACTTTATTAATTTTCTCCTCTATTTCCAAGCTCTTGAGGTAGTCAAACTAATACAAAAATTCAGAATTAATGTAAACAGGTAGCAGAATCAATATCCATCCTTTTAATCATCAACAGGAAAAGGCAGCAATTGACATGAAATACCTCAGGTTCATGACTCTGAAACTCTGTCTTGTAACGAAATTCAGGATGCCTAGCATTGGAATAGTCCATCTTTTCCTGATCTTTCCGGAAGGCATACTGCATCGAACAATTTTAACAATTAAAGTTACCCTTATCTCTGACAACCAGAACCAAACTATCAAACATATAGAGACGTTTACATTTTTCCCATCTGTCCTTTCAAATAGCACAACCCGGCCTCCACGGTCTCCAGTTGCAAGATGTTCACCACTTTTGTCAAACTCAATAGCAGATATGATATCAACTGCAAATGACAAAGAAGATAAAAGACATAAGAAATTAAACTACCAAAACAAGGGTTTCTATGTGACCCAGTCTCATATTGCATAAAAAAAAAAAAGACAAATTGGTCAAAATAAATGGTCAAGAACCAAAATAAAAATAGCAATATGTGGGTAAATGCTGTTTCATGGACTTTTCTAAATGGATAAGTGCCAGACACATGTCATATTCTGAGAACCTAAATATTCTTGTTCAATATCTTTTGATTTCCTTGTCTTTTTCTTGTTGTTCTTACTTGCTTGATATGAATGAACATCTAAAACAAGCTAACAGTGTCACATATATTTATTCCTTTATCTAAGGTGGCATATGGGGGCCATTAGCTGGATATTTTATCCAGTCCACCCCTCCCACGACCCCAAATAGCTGGGTGTTTTATCTATAGGTGGCATACGATCCGATTCATATAATACCCCATTGGTAATGGTAAATACTTACTTTTCACGAGTCCTCAAATTCATTTCCTTGATCTCAAAAATTCAGCACCCTACACTCATCCAGTCCCAATGCCAAAGGAGCATTATAAGAAATGCTTTCTGGTTGAAGGAACGGATAATATGGATTTTTTTTCTTTTTTTCATGTAAGGTAAAGAAAGTATTGGATTAATAATTCCAAAAAGAGCATTTATGTATAACAATGATTTTCGTTACTTAAAAAAAAAAAAAGACAACTTATGTATATAAACAATAGAGTGAGCAATATACCTCCTATAATGATCTTAGACAGTTCCATGGATCATAATGGCTACTGACCTAGTAGATCACTCTAAGAAGAAGAATGTGCTTAATACAGATTGAAGAAGTTCAGATTTAAAAACTCCCTTTCCTTTACTTAAACTATAATATAATATTCTAAACTTTGCCATTATATATATCCCAATAGATTTTCAAATCATCAAGATAGACACGAAATAGTAATAGGAAGAACAATTTATGAGTATTTGAGCTCTTGATTACATCTATAAGCAAACAAAAAACATTAATTAGAAAATAATTCGGTTCTACAAAGCAATAAGCAATCTAATGGTGAAATGGTGTCCATTAGTTAAAGCATTAACCAACTTAGATATGAGAAATCTGGGAAAAAAAACACTCAATGCGATTTTTCCGCACCTCTGAGGAGAACAAAGATAGCAAGACAGCAGAAAAATACCATGATTTCTCAAGGAATATTCCAATGGTATATTTCAACAAGCCTAAAACGAAAAGCCTACTTGGACTACACCATAAACCCTCATGATAAAAGAACCACCAGGTAAGAAAAGGACTAAACTGTAAATGCAAGACATGATTCCTCTCTAAATACAAAACCCATTTTCTCCGCACATCAAACTTGGAGATACAAACATGCGCATCAATGGAAATAAGCTGAAAACACGAAAACAATAAAAGGAATATCGAGGCACCTTCCTGAACTTCCTCCCCGGCCGCTCGCTCTCCAAAAACCTGAGAGAATTTCCATTCGAGAGGAAGTGGGACCCCCACTTCTCCGTTCCCAAGAGGGATCATCTTCAAAAAAAAAAAAATAGATAAATAAATCAGAACCCCGTTCAACCCTCCAACATCGCCGATCGGGAGAGCAATCCCATCAGATTTTTTCTTGCCCCGATATTCACAGCATTCATCCAAAAAATGCAGCTACTTGGCAAAACAGACAGATATAGCGAATATATATCTATCTTGCTCTGTTCGTGTATTATGTAGACAACAGTGGTTTCAGAAAGAGAGAGTGGAAGATGAAGGAAAGAGAAGATGACGTAGCAGGGAAAAGGATGTTTAATGGGAGAAGTGGAGCTGGTTTTATTTTGTAAATATATCTATCTTCAATTTCTCCTTGCCTTTCTCGTCACGTGATAAACCACGAATATTTAGGCCCTGTTTGGTGTTTGCTTGCACCTTGCAGTGCAAAACTGATGCAATACAAACTTTGCATGTGATTTGATTCACATCGGTTTGTTTTGTTATTACGATTTGTACTCTTGCATGATACAAAATTTGCAATTTTTGTTTCATTTGCATTGCAAATTTTGCAACGCTTCCATGTTGTTTTGATTTTTCTTCTATAAAATGAGGATTAAATCAGAATATTGCTTCAGCCTATTTAAACTCTCATGCATTTATGCTAGTGCAAATGAAATTCAAATTTCTATTGATCAGCCCCTAATATTTCATGAATAAACAGCAAATGGTGCCAAACACAACCCTAAGTAACGATGAACTCATAGCAGGTGCATTGTTCAGTACCATCCCCATTTAAGGTTGGAACGTTGCCATATCAACACTTACATTAAACTTGAAAAGTTGAAATGGAAACACCACATTTTGTACATGTGGAGCCATTTGAAGAAATACCGTTCTATGAATCTGGGGTGTCTCCACGGAACAAATAATATAAATTAAAATATGATACTTGATGTTTCGTGCCAATGGCCCAAAACGACTCCCTATTTTGGACGTGGCCTGAACACCACGATACCAAACACCGTCCTAATTATTGCGGTGTTATAACTTCTTGACAATGAAAACACAACATCGATTCCTTATAATTAAACTATTTATGGGATGTGGAACGGGGCACCAGACAGCTTCTTAAAGAAAAGGGAAAACAATTGGGAACATGAGATGATCATTCAACCAATTATTACTTCATATGACTGATACAAAGTTTAGGACACAATTATAGTAGTATAAATATTTAAAAATGCTTCTCTGGTCTTCCTACACACATTAAAAAGCATTACAAGGTGGAAAAATAAGGAACATTCTGTACATCCCAAAAGCAAATCATTCATGGAAAACACTTACTGATGTCAATGGGTCGGGTTAGGGTAGACTTGATCTTGAAACACTTAGGATGTGTTTGGTTCATGGTTGCATTTGTGTTTGTGTTTCACTGCTGGATACATGGTTCCAAAACCAGTAGAATGGGCATTTTATGGTGCATCCCAAACACCAATGAAGTTCTAGTTATAATGTCTCATTCGATAATGGCCGTACGATCATAAATAGTTGATTGACTGGTCCAAGAAGACGGTTCAATCAGATGGTTTGCTACTTTGCTTGGTGAAACTCTGAAAACAGTCAAAAAGCCTGGGACTCAAACAAATTGAATAGCATTCCTGGGATGGCTCTTCTCTAATCGACTCAATTATCAACAACATTCTCTGAACATAATTATTTCTACCCTTTGACATTACTGGATTGGTGAAATTAGGCTTTCCGTCTAAATTGAATTCAAGGCAGAAGTAATTGCGTGGGAGTACAAATAACAAAGTGTAAATTCTGATTGGATTTTTCTCTGGGTTTTACTTTGCTTTATGTTTTATTTCACTTCCTTTACAATGCAACCAAACAAAACGAAGTATAATTTAGATTTAGAACAAAAAAATGTCAGATTTTGTATTCAATTCATTGCACTCTCGTGCTTTTGCACCAGTGCAAACAATATCAGGAGATAAACCCCGAATTTTAGAATGCAACTGTTTTCAAGAAAACAGATGGGAGTGCACATATCCCAACCACTTGGTGAATGAGGGAGAGAGCTGAACATGATTGGTGCAGGGTAATCCATTATTGTTGCTGTCTTAATTCCTACAACTAATGGATGAAAGTAACCAACAAGATCATTTAGTCCCCCGACAGCAACTAATCTAATTTAAGAGAAGTGCAAATGAAGCAATAGTGAAGTTTGAAATATGACTTACTGCTCCTGTAAGAAATTTGGACTCAGGTTTACATTTCAAAATGCTTTCCTTGCACTACATTTTTTCTCTTCTCCTAGCAGTCATACCCTTATGACTGAAAATTAAAAGGTTACATAAATATAGAAGATTGCACAAATCGTCAATTATCCTAAGCACGTTGTCCCTTAGCTTTGCCACAGAGGAGGGCATTTGGTGGAATGTCATATTCATTGGCTGGGGTTTTGTCTTGGTTCCAGACCCTGAGATAGAATTGCTGCCCCAAATACTGCCTCTCCCATATTGCAGACCGCAAATTCCACATACCTTGGTTGTCCAAGGAGACCCAAATGGTGGTCCATGAATTTGGATACACCTGCAAGACCATACATTGCATTAAACAAATAGAAATCATTCTAAAACTTTTTAAGTAACATAAGTCTAGCATATAAATTGCAAGTCAACCACTGAAAACTCTCTGCTTGTTCTGGTTTCAGTTACCTGAGCAGTATGTCTAGTGAGTGTATCAATTAGATTATAGCCATTCCTACTGGCCGGTGTCCACTGCCCGTGACCATATCTGCATTCACCATACCTACAATCGGTACTGATAAAAAAAATACACAGAAAGAGATTAAAGCCTTACCCAACAACCCAGAAATCATAACCATCTAGGTGCCAAGATTGGATGGTGTTCTCATTATTTTGGAAGACAACTTCAATAAACTCATGGAGAGAAGCTGGCATAACAGCTGTAGCAAGTAATGCAGGACCTCCACTAGGCGCTGTTTGAATGGAATTCAGACTAAAGACCCCAGGGATATTGAAATAATCGGCAAGTTTGAGCGGGGTATCTGAGTTAATGTAAGAGACCCTATTAACAGCATAGCGTTGCTTCCCATTTATCTGTGGGGCTGAGTTGGCCAAGACAATTGTCCTTGATGGTTTTATCTGCCCATAATGGAATGAACCTTGAGGATTGGGCCTAGCCGCGCTTGCTGTCAAGTTCCATCTTTGAAACAAAAAGTAGGATAATCAGATTCTTCATTCATAAGGAATTTTAAATTTTAATAGGATAACCAGAGACCTCAGTGTATTATATAAATCTGAGCATTAGCATTTGAAGGTCTGGTCTATGCAAGACTCCAATTGTTGAGTATAATTTGTTTCAATAAAATGCAATTTAACATGTCAGTGGCAATTATTGACCAATTTCAACAAATGCCTCGGTCAAGTCCTCAAAACTAATATACCTGAAGGTTCTGGCCTGCTGCATTGACCAATCTATTTGATAAGAAGGACCAGAAGGCAATTGACCAGAAACTGGGGTGTGAGAATTGGTATAGTGTAGCACTGCAGTTGTTGTGAGAACAGTACTTGTGAATCGTGTGGATGCAACAATATAGTAATCTTTGGGAGATTGATTTAGTGTGACAAGGACAGCCACAGATTGGCCCACATGTACATCCAGAGAATCATAGATAATCTGAATGGTGTGGGAACCTTCAACTTCGACCAGCTTAAGTGTATGGCCCTGGATCCTAAAGTTGATTGAGGATGACAAGCCCACATTTGAGATTCTGAACATGTAGGTTTTACCTAGAAAAAAAAAATCATAAAAAAGTAGATCAAATACGTATAGATGAACTTGGTTTGAGGTTGTGTTAGAAATTAAGCACTTACTCATCACAAAATGGATGTGCAGAACCTACCATTTAAAGCCCCATTAAAAATTTTTTAATTTAGTGATGAAAGTTACCTTGATCTCCACTAAAAGAAGTATGCGCCTGGCCATTTATTAGAAGACCGTCAGGGAAAGGAAGAGGTTTCCCGGAATCCAAATATTGTTGTAAAGTCTGCAATAATCAGAAAGAAGAAAGAAGTCAAATACCATGAAAATTTGCAGTCACTGGATATATTACAAAGACCTGTTTTTCCTGTGTTAAAAGTGGGGATAGGTCTCTAGCTTTAATTTTGTATCAGTCACCATAAGATCTAAGGCTGTGTTTGGCTTGAAGGAAAAAAGTAGGGAAAGGAAAGGAAAGATAGGGAAATCTTTACAAACTTTATATATGTTTCCCTACCTTTTCCTTCAAACCAAACATAACCTAAGGGTCAACAGCGTTAGTAGGGCTGGTTCACCAAATGAAACTGGTTGACTAATGGAGGATTTTGAAACAAAGAGTGGAGATTTGATCCAGAAAACTTTAACAGTTAATCAACTTGACAGTTTCACAAGAAGGCGTTGTCTGGTTTGGACCCTGGTCCTGATTGATTGGACAAGCTGTTAGAAACTTTCACTGCAAATGTCTCCATAGTGCAATACAAGGGATCTAGTAGAACTAACTGAAAATAGTTGCTGCCATACGTTGAGAAATAGGCCTTAATTTTAGAACAGGAAGATGAAAACTACTAATGGATTCTAAAATCTAAAATGCCCAAATGAATAAACTTTTGCTAGAAATATTATGCACAGATGTTGGAGGGGAATATGGAAACCTGGTCAAGCCGTCAAGGTGAAAATGCATAAGTTATTTACCTTGTGGTTGGTTTTGTACCAATCACCAATCAGTAGTGTGAAATCACCATCAGGTTTAGGAAATGGGATTGGTATCCCTGGTCTCTGATACACATTCAGACCTCCATACCCACCAGCGGCTTTGTGCAGCGAAGTGGATGGAAAGTAGGTGAAGCTTCCAATCTGATCCTTTGTTTGAAACTTGTATGTGTAGTTTGAATTTGGTAGAATTGGGCAATTGGTTCCCAGTACTCCATCTTGCCATGAGTTCTTCCTTTGTTTAATGCCATTCCTGGTAACGAGAAGCCATGAATTGATAGATGCAAGTTGGTCATTGTGAAATTTAAGGCTACCTTTAATTGTGAAATTTTATAACCAGGAAAGGAACATAATAACCCAGGATGGCACTTTAATTTGCACAAGAGACTCTTAATAGGTTAAAGTGGAACACAGAGGCCACTGATTTTAGAAAATTGGACATTGATAATAGACCTCTCTGAATATTAAAATAGAAAAATGAACCAAACTGTTATATTTTTGTTTTCTGTAATCTGAACCGAAAATAGAAAAGGGAACAAAGATATTGAACCAAATGATGAAGGTAGTGTGTGCATTGGCAGGGAATCCAATTTCACAGTTAAACAAATAACTACGAAAGAGTGAGAATTCTGACAAGTAGAAAATAACCGAAAGAGAAGAAAAAATATGAAAGCAAATATCTTTTTTGAAAAAAAAATTAGATAATTCTTACAGGGTTTTACAGAGGATTATCAACCAAATAGGAAATATGGCCAGAAAAGGCAATAAGAATATGCAATTTAAGGCACAGATAAGTGAACAAACTAAGAGACAACATGGTGAAGTAAATAAAGAAAAGAAAAGACCAACCATGTCAAGAGAAAAGGCTGGTCCAGCTTGTTAATGAGGTTAAGAACAATGTTGTCATTGGTCACAACGTCAAGTCTAGGACCAGGAAATTGGCCATTGATAAGAATAACCTTCAAAACCAAAAAAAAAAAAAAATGACAATGAATTATGAGATTAGACACAAAACCTATTCCATCTAGTTGCCCAGTAAGACCAATCAAATCTTATAAAGTGAACTGATGATAAAATATATACTATCACAGAGACTGGAAACTCAACCTGTTGAGGGACACCAAGAGGAGAAATTTTTCCATAGGTTACAGTCCATGTATAATATTTGTAAGGGTCCTCTGCTTTGACCAGAGGAACACTTAAACAAGCGAGAACTCCAAGGACCAAATGCAGTAAAATTGCAACTTCTGCCGTCATTTTATCAGGAAAATTGTCTCCGAGTTGATCTAATTTGTGCAACAAAAAAGGAAGTCATAAACAAGACATTAGTAAATAAATAAAAAAAAAAAACTTATTAGATCTAGAGCCTAAGCAGAAAGAATGGAACATAAATACATGCTTAAGAAAAGAAGATGTAATGTGCTTGATGGATTAAGCAGGATCTCCCACAGTCACAACCACAACAAAGCTAAAACACTAATATAGACGTTCAAAGCCATGGAGATCCGAGATTAGTTGTGTCCAGCACAGAAGCATCAAGGAGCAATACAGAGCCATCAAAATTTGCTTGAAGAAAAAGTTTTAAGGTATCATTTTGCAAGACATAAAGAATGCTTCATCATTATTTTCTAAGGAAGAACTTTAAGGAAAATTGGAAATTTCCAGGATCTGAGTTTCGGAACAGGATGTTTGGAGGTCCCCACCGACTGAAAATCGAAAACGAAAAACTTGAAATGCAAAAGATGCAACACTGACAGTCGAAGCTTGCATAAAATCAGAGACACTAATCAATGGAACATTAAAATGGAGTAAACTAAACAAGAAAAAATCGTTCACCTGATCTGGAATTGGATAATAAACCTCGTCGGTTGACAGAGTAAGGGAAATAAAATGAGAAAAAGACTGCTCCTTCACAATTGCAGAGTCCAATGAAGTGAAGCAGTGGGCTATGCTTGCTTTTTGCTTAAGTAGGGAAAAAAGCGGGAAAAACTTCACAATCAACAACAACAACTTGCATGGGATTCTAGTCTTTAGCCTTTACTCTTTACTGAGAGTTTTGAATAGATAATAATTAATTAGTGTTTTTTTATTCTTACACTGAGCCCTCACACATGGGTCATCAGTCATCACGCGCTTCCGCGTCGTCATTATGGATCACAACATCGCAAATGCGAGATGTTATGTTTTATGCTTACGGTGAAGAGCTTTTGGTTGAATAGAAGGATTATATATATATATAATAGATGAATGTATCGGAGGAGGAAGAGCTTTTCAATGCAGGATGGAGATTGGTGAAGAAGATAAAAAGAATTTAATAACAATGTGGTTGATAGGAGATAGTAATTTTCGGTGACTGGATCTGGATTGAATGGAAGGGTCATGGCCCATGGGAGTATTGGCTTCACATGCAACATCTGAAAAGTGAGACCCACCTCCATTCTCCAAGGGGACAAAGGAATAAATGAAAAAAAAAAACTTGGAGACCGTTCATTTTTTTGGATTTTGGGAAGGGAACTTGGATTTTCGTTCCCATTGTTATTGACTAATTAGGAAATGTTTGAAACCGTGGTCGTTTTTCAAAAAAACGGTGCCACGTCGGATTCATATAGGTGTTTTAACAAATGCCCATGTATGTCATTGTTTAGTTCAGCCGATTATTAAAAAATCGGGCATTTCGAAAATCGTTCCCCCCTAATGGTGTTTATTTGTCAGCACATACATAAAAAATGGTGATGAAAATCATCTTATCAAATAGTATAGTGTTGCTTACTGCCTACGTGGCAGAAGCGTTTTTTTTTTTTTTTTTGTGAAAACCATGTCTTAGAAGCATGGGCATTTTTTCTTGAAAATTGATCCCAAAAAATGTCCACACTTCTAAACACCATGTAGGTTTTTGGCATCAATGTCATTTCCTCGGAAAAAGGCACCACGTTACATCAACACAACATCAAAAATCCATTTTTATGAAAAATGTTTGGTTAGTCTTTTTTTTTTTTTGAAAAATGTTTTTTTAAACCACACATTAGAAATTGGGAAATGTGTGATGGGAGAAAACATCTATTTTGGTGTTTTTTTGTTTTTTTTACTATTGCTAATATGACATTGAAAAATGCCTATATGACAATAACAACACCAATGGTATCAAATAGAAAACCTTAGAAGATGTTTTCTAGAAAACAACATGCTTATACAATATCATTTATTGGGAAAACAATTCTTAAGAGAACATTGCTTAAGATATCTATGTTCTTCTTTTAGATTTATGTGGGTTCTATGAAAATTTTATTTTTATTGGATATTAAATTTCTTATCTAGAAGAAAAGTTATCAATAATTAAATAAAATAAAATTACCGCTTTTAATAATAGATTTTTATGACTAAAACAGTCATTATATTATTTACCTGTAAAATAAAATATCACAAGTAAATATATTTACCCAAATAATTATTTCTTAAGAAATACTTATTCGGGTACATGCATTTATTCACTAAAAAACTTATTGAAAAACAAATGGGTATTTGGTGTTTTGTTTGGTAAAACCTAAAAGCTAGGGGGGTCGTATCGCATGATTCACATCTCATCTTCCCTCCGTCAGATCGCCCAAATCCGAATTCTTCCTGACGACCACCACGTGGTTCTGTTGTTCAGTGAATCCAATTCAGAGATCAGAGCCTGGGGGTTGTTACTAGCCTTTGGCAAAACTACGTCCTACGATTACTGAAAGTTGCATTGCTCATGTTCATGTGTTCTGTAGCGCATTGAAGTTTTTAGGTGCAGCAGCAGCTAGCAAGTACGGGGAGATCTCGAAACAGAATACAGGACCTTCAATTTCCTAATTCGTGAAGGTAGCGGTCTGCTACAAACAATAGGCTATTAATATTGTCCCAGTCCCAACCTGCCTTTGCAGCCGCACATTGCAAATGAACTGCGATCTGCTCTTCACCGAGCGTGCCTCACAGTTACATTCCATCCTGCATTGGGGGATAACTTTGGCTGTTGAGAGCCAAATGATGCCCCGCCTGCGCGCCTGCAACAGGCTGAATGTGGCCCTCAACGGTTAGTTTTAATTTTTTGGGGGGTTTTTTATAGAAATACCTCCCTCCCCCCTAACATTTACAAATAGTTATATAGGGGGTATTTATATATTTTGATTTTCTGAGAGAAAAAAATGAAAGAAAATGCCTCCAATAGTTATATAATAGCTAGTTTAGGGAGGCATTTTGGGTAAAATGATAAATAACTTTACAGTAACCAAAATACCCCTCCCAATAACTAAAAAATGACTAGTTTTTAGAGTGTTTTGGATAATTAAATTATTTTAAATTCTTACTAATAGCTCAATTCTCCACCATTCTCACCACACCAATTCAATAATTCTTTTCCCATACTCTTTTAGACTCTTATACTCTCAATACTCTCTCTCTCTCTAGTCTCCAATTCTCAAATCTTGACCTTTTTCAAGTTTCAACAAGAAGAAGGCTTGCTCAAGTATTTCAAGTTAGCAAATTGGGAGGCTTAAAGTAGGGGTGATCATTGGTTGGGCCCGGGCCGAGCTTTGCACTTATGGTAAGGGCTGTAGCTTAGGCCCGGGGTTCCGGACTTGGTTTTGGGCCAATGTCTTTCATATATAAAACATTACATATCTATAATATTTTATATTAAATACATAACATGCATATAAACTTATTTTATACATTATATAATATAAAATATTATATATCTATATATTAAATGACATAACATGCATATAAACTTATTTTATACATTATATAATATAAAATATTACATATAATATAAATTATACATGTCATGTTATAGTATTCATATATAAAATATATAATCTAATATAAAATAACATGTATATATATATATATGTGTGTGTGTGTGTGTGTGTGTACATTATAAACAAAATGTGTAAGTTTAAATATATGTAGGTCGGCCCGAATCAATTTAGATATTGTAGTAGGGGTGGTATTGACCACTAGGACAGACATCTACTCACCCATGAGAAATAAGAAGAATAAGAGAAAGAAAAATCCCAAACACAAATTGGAAGTGGGGGTTTTGGTACATTTAAATATTCATAAGAAAAAAATGAGGCAATAATTGGCAAAATATATTATACATGTTAAGCAACCATTTTTATTAGTTGAGGATAGGTAAACTTGAAAAACTTTATGTAATTCTATAAATCTTCAATTTAAAAAAATTTATAGAAATACTATTAGATCAGATGCTTTGAAAATTTTTATTCATATAAACAAAATTTAATTTCTATTTTATCAAATTTTAATTATAGAGTTGCAATTACTTCTGATATTTGGACCTCTAAAATTAATATAAGTTATATCTATATTACTAGTCATTTTATTGATGAAAGCCGGCTTTTACAAAAAATAATTTTAAGTTTTACTAGGCTTGAATGGCCACATACTGGCCAAACTATTGCTACAAGTATTTTAAATACTTTACATGCTTATGGAATTGACAGTAATTTTTTTTTTATATTAGTTTTGATAATGCCAACAATAATGATTCATCAATAAATATTTTGAAATTTCAATTAAAACCTTATTTAATGGTAAATTATTTCATATTAGACGTGCATGTTACATATTAAATTTATGTATTCAAGATGCTTTATATTATTTCTCATCATATTTCTAAAATTAAAAATTGTATTATATAATAAAATTTATGGAGCAAGAAAACAAGAATTTAAATATCTCTGTCATAATTATGGTTTAAAATCTAAACATTTTATTTTAGATGTTCAACATAAATGGAATTTTACATATTTTATGTTAGAAACATGTACTCCCTATAAATAAATTCTTTATGATTTTTATAATTAAAAAATGCCACATGATGTTATACTTGATGAAAATTAAGAAATGGACATTTGTATAAGTTTTTTTACACAATTTTTATGATGTAACTAAGGAATTATTATTAAAATAATGGAAAGTAAATTTAAAAAATCTTGGGAGAACATTTCTCTTCTTTATTGTTTAGCTGCAATATTAGATCCTAGGATTTAAAAATATGGTATAGATATTTTACTTGATTCATTTTGTGAAAATATGAATATTGAAGTGGAAATAAAAAGAAAAATTTAATAGTCTATTATTTGAAATGTATAATTTATATGAATCTAATATGGCATGGAATAAAAAATGTACAACTTGTACATGTACAACTTCCACTTTTGAAACAACTAGTTCCAAAAGTACGTAAGATAGAGTCTGGTCTTTAATAAATAGGAGGCAGAAATCTACTGCAACTTCATTAAGTTCATTTGTTGAACTTAATTTTTATTTACAAGCAATTTTTTCTAGTTTAAGTGATTTATTTGACTCAGAAAGAATGAATAATTTTGATATTTTAGCCTGGTGGAGTGGACATGAAAAAAATTATCCAGTCCTTGCCGCCCTGGCACGTGATCTACTAACCCCTCTGATGCCTACAATTTCATCAGAGTCTTGTTTTAGTGCAGGTACTAGGGTGTTGGGTGACAAGAGAAGTTGCACGAATGATAAAAGTCTGGAGATGCACATCTTCTTCAAAGATTGGCTAGATGCCGAGGACAAATTACAAGACAAAAGAGGGCATGACACTACACCTGATGATTCACCTGAAGCAGATGATCAAAATCAAGATGGAGATGGAGGTGGAACTTGAAGAAAAATGACGAAGACAATATTTTTTTGTATACTCAATAACTTTGTACATTTTT